CCCCCCCCTGCCCCCGGCGCTGGCAACGCCGGGGCCGGCAACGGCGGCGCTGGCAACGGCGGCGCTGGCAACGGCCGCGACGGCAACGGCGCCTGCGCAACGGCCACTGCGCTCGCCCCGGCCGCCAGGGAGCGCTGTCGGCGCGGGCGGGCGCGGGCTGAGGCGGCCTGAGGCGGCAGGGCCCGGCCCCTGAGGGAGGGGAGTCCGGGCCGAGGTGCCTCTTGGCCGGCCCCGGCCTGAAGCCCTCTCCCGACATCGTTCCACCGGGATTTCCTCTGTGAGGCCCCGCTGCCGTCCATGGGGCACGGCCCTGCCGCGGTTCAGCCCCAGCTTGGGGGGCAGGCAGCAGCTTGGACCGTCAACACTGTTCCCACCCCACACCTGAAGCACGGCCCCGCACCAGCTGCCAGCGAGAAAGTCAACCCCATCCCCACCAAAACCATGGCAGACAGGGATGAAAGATCTCTATATCCCGTTACATGTGCCCTCGGTCTCCCAGCCCCTCCACTCCCCCTGCGTGGTTTCAGGTTGCTTCTCATTCCTCAAGAGTTTTGAGCTTTATTCAGTAATGGAATAAAGCATGAGAAGAAGGAACCATAGTGTCCCTTTTGGAAATGGCAAAGGCACTCATTGGATTATGGGCAGCGAATGCAGCGAGGGCACCCGCATCCGTTGCGATTTATGGCTCTAACTGGTGGGCACACAGCACCCGCAGCCTCGAAGGGACTGGCAGGCTCTGCCACCGCATCGGACACATCCCCGGCCTGCACGACACAGCCCCGGCATCTGGAATTTCAACACGTTAGACAGGACCTGCTTGTCCTTTACAAGGGTGCTGAGAGGAGGATGGGCTGGATTGCTGATGAAGGCCTTTGCTTTTCCAGGCATCTCATGCATCCTGTGCGTCTCCAGGCAGAGAGAAACAGCCTCTTGGGAATGGAGAGGGACCCCCACGGGACAGAGAGTCACCTGGACTCATCCATGTCTCCAGACAGAGAGTTCATTTGGACAGAGAGTCCAGTACATGATCATGGAAAGAATGAAATACTGAGAACACCCTAGCAGAGCTTTTTAATTGCAGATGAAGAGTAATTATGCGGTGTTTCTTCATTCGAGCTCTGTGGGTAAAGGCCAGGGTGTGCAGAAGGTTGTGCCTCTCCTTGTCTTCCCTGGATACCCTCTGAAGGCTACGAGCAATTCCCTGCTCTGCCCCATGAATAGCACGGTGTGAGCTTGGTGCCATCGCCTGCTCCTGCCCATGTCCTGCTGTCACTGGAAGCAGGCACCGAGACAGCGGTACCTCCTGCTCTGAACAGCTCGAGAAGTGGAAGAGATGAAAGAGAAAGCCTCAAGTGCAAAGTGTATTTGGACGTGGGAGATGTTCTCATCCCGCAGCTGGAATGATACCTCTACAGCTTATAAACCTCCCGCGAGGGTTGCCTTGTCTGACCGAGCTACACGTTCACGTTTCGTGTTTTGAAATGGCACATCTCCCACTGTCCTGGCCCCTGGCGCTCGGGGCACGCTAGTTAAGGCTCACGTGTATTCGCTGTTCACAGTCTTACATCAGCCCTTCGTGGTGAGTATCGATCTTTGGTTTAATACAAAAATGAGAGGGCAGGTACACAGCTGGGGGGGTTCTTATTTTCTTGTTGGGGGCTGGTGTATAAACACCAGGTAGGACTTCGCTAATCACCCATCTGCAGCTTCAACCACAGACGAGAAGACTCTCGCACTGTGTTGGATGATGCTCAGTGTGGGATCCCAGGGGAGCCCTGGCAACCCCCAGAGGCTACAGAATTCTGCGTATGGCTTGAAGGGTGGTGCTGGGTTTGGGACCGGAGGGAAGCGGGGTCTGAGTGTGTTCCTGGTGAGCTTTGTACCTCAGTGTTGGGTTTTGCCTGGGCTCCAAATTCCTATAAAACCTGCCTGCGCTGCGGTGCCGCTGGTTTGCTGTTGAGCTCCACGCTGCAAACAGACCAGGGAGGTGTGAGAAACACCAGACTGCCTCACCTCCCCTCCAGCATCCCAAACTGGGACAAACTGGGGGGAGCAGGCTGGGTCTAAACTGGGAGGGGACCTCAGATGTCCCCAAAGCAGCGCCCACAGTCCCATTCCCAGCACTTCACTGTGCTCTCCGCACACCATGGCGATGGCTAACCGTGGAAGGGAGGATGGCAAGTGGAGGTGGCCATGGCACTGCCAGCAGGGACCTCAGTGGGCAGCCAGAGTGGTGGCCAGCGTGGCGAGGTGTCCCCGTCTCCGTGGGTGGCATGGTGAGAGGCTGTCCCCCACAGGACCTAGGCGTTTTGAAAGCCCCACACTTCCAAGAGCTGCACCTTGAAGTTCTCCTGGCAGAGCGGCGGGTTGTCGAAGGTCTCACAGTGCTCCGTGCGCCCCCAGAGCAGGTTGGCATCCAGGGACAGAGCTTGGCCTCCCCCTCCACCTGCAAAAATAAGCAAGATGGTCAGGATCTGCTCTCCCGTTTTGCCCAGGGAAGGGGTTGAGACACCATCCCTGGAGGTGTTCAAAAGACGGGTTGACATGGTGCTGGGGGACATAGTTTAGTGATGGGGTTTTTTTGTCAGAGTTAGGTTGACAGTTGGACTAGATGATCTTGAAGGTCCCTTCCAACCTCGATGATATTATTCCCCTCGTCCCCAAGCAGGGGGACAGTGGCCCAGCTGAGGAGGTTTCTGAGGTATTCCCCTCATCCCCAAGCAGGGACAGTGGCCCAGCTGAGGAGGTTTCTGAGGACTGTGCCCATCTCTCAGCTTTCTGTCCTTTAGCCACAGGGCAGAGCTGGGCTGGGGCTGCCCAGAGCTGCCTTCTCTGCTGATGGGGATGTCAGCATGGAGACAGAGCTTCTGGGGAGCGATCTGCAGGGCAGCCAGTGCGAGAGGTTGCCCTGGCAGCACAAGCTGAATTATTAAACTGCTTGGAGAGCTGGAGAACAGGGAAAGCTCCTCACATCCCTGCAGCCAGGCTTGCCCTGGTCCCACTCCCAAGGGCTGGAAGGGAAGCAGAGGCTGTGCTCCAGGTGTTTCTGACCTGCAGCGATTCTCTGCTGAACCCACCCCGGCAGTGGTGGGGCACAAAGATTCAACCCCATGCCCAAGCCCAACCCAGCAGACAGCAGTGTAGGCAGGCAGATGGTGTGGCTGCTCTGGGTGACAGTGCTCGGCCCTTCCTCAGGCTGATCCCCACCTCCATCTCCTCTCCGTCCCCCACAGAGTGGAGAGAAGGGCTGGGAAGGGACACAGCAGCCCCACGGGTGCAAACCTCACCAGGAGGTTTGGGCTCTGGTGCTCCCCCTCGGGTGGCTCCTCCTCTCAGAAGGAGCATCCTTGACCCTGTGCAGCTCTGCACTCTCCTGCTAAGCTGAGGAAGAGGGGGATGACTTCATCTCTCCTGGCTTTAAGTTCATAGCCTAAACCAGGAGGTCTTTGCCTCTCCAGGCAGCTCAGATTTTGATCTGGAGCAGAGCCCTTTTCAGCCAAAGCAGTGCTGTGTCGGTGGGTGGGTGCCCACTGTTTGGTAATTACCGATAATGATCCCTTCCCGTGACCCGGACATGAACATGGAGGCTGTTTTGGAAGGCAGGAGGAAATGTCTGATGGCCAGAAAAGGGGAGAGACGGCCTTTCCTCTGCGGGGTGGGCACGGTGAGACGGTTTGAGCTGGTGCCGTGGCCATCCGGGGAGGAGCCGAGGAGGGACACGGGAGAGGGAGAAGGTGACCGCTGGCGTGAGCGTGGCACAGCTTTGGCCAGCTCTGGCTTCTTGATGAACACCCACTCGTACCTTTCCATCTCGGGTCGTACCTGGAAAGGAGGAGAAACCTGGTGAGCCCTGTCCTTTGGGGCCTCTCTCCATTGCTGGGGGAAGATGGTGCTGCCTGGGCCAGGCTGGTCAGTGGCCAAATGCTGCGTGCCAGGTCCAGACCTGGAGCAGGGTAGGGACAAGGTGTCCTGGTGGTGCCAGGGCTGCTCTGGAGGTGGCTGTGAGTGAGAAATTGGTTTTGTCTTCACCAGTTGCTGCCTGACGTGGGCAAACCTGCAGTGCCCACGATGCTAGATGGATGCTGGTGGATGCTAGATGGATGCTGGTGGGTACTGGAGGGATGTTGGACTTTGAGCTGCTCTCTTGGAGCAGCTCAGCCTGGTCCCTCTGCAGGGCCCCTGGGGCTGGTTTGGGAGGGCTCCATCCAGGAGCTGCCCTGAGCAAACAGGGCAGGAACCCTCCCTGCCATACATGCTGCCCTGCTGTCACCCTGGGAAGGTGCTCCAAAACCCACCCGGGGTTATTGCCCGGTGCCTCGGGGGCACAGGACAGACTGGCTCACCCATGGCAGGAGTTCATTCTCCATGTGCTCTGATCCAGCACAGCAACTTCTGTGCTGCTGTCTCCTGCCAGAGCTAAGGGACAGTGGTGGGACCATGGCAGGGAAGCAGCTCGGTGCCAGCCTGCCCTGAGTGATCACAGGGGTAAAAGGAAAAAGTAGACAAACTCATAAGCGTAAACCCAGAAATAAAATGTGACTTACAGTGAACACAAAGCACTCCCCTGTCCCAAAAAAGCCGGATGTTGCCCCGCTCTTTTTCCTTTCGCTCCAGTCGGAGGAGAGAAACGCCCCACAGACCTTTGGGAGAGAGCACAGGGAGCTGTCAGTGGGGGACACAGCGGGGACCAGAGCAAGCCCCACAAACACCGGCCATCGCACGTGTGTGCAGGAGGACAAGGGTCCCCTGGGGAATCAGAGCCTGCAGTTCTGCCCTGCCAGCTAAATCCTGCAGGGACAAGTCACCGGTGCTCTGGATGTGAATCCACTGAGTTCAGTGCCTAAGAATCACAGAATCAAAGAAGCACAGAATCGCCATGGTTGGAAAGGACCTCTGAGATCACCGAGTCCAACGTGGGGGGGCTCTGGGAGATCTGGGGGGGTTGCTCTTTAGCAGCAGAGGTGATTGCAGGGAGCTGGGTGCTGGTAGATGGAGCAGGGCCGGTTTGGCTGTGCTGGTGTGTTCCCTGGCACGGGTTTGGGAGTAGGAGCTGCATCTCCCACTCCCAAGCCCCATCCAGCTCCTGGCAATGGAGAGGAATAGCTGTGGGTCAAAGGCTTGTAGGAACACTGGGGATGAGGGCCTGGGAGTCCCTTGTCCTCAGCTGGCCCCTGGCCAGGGGTGAGGTGGTCGCGTGTTCTATGAGCCTGTAGGGAAAATGTGTTTTAAAATGGCAAAGACTCGGGTAACAGTTTTTTGTTACCTACAAGGCTTTTAACCAGTCCCAGGGGTTCTTCCACCCATGGACAGGCTTGATTTGACTTGACCTCAGCTGGGGGGGACCTACTGAGAGATAGGAAGTTGTGCCAATCCTTGGTACGAGCTAAGGAATAAAATGAACTAAACCACTCAGGAAACAAGGCCTTATAAGTCACCTTCTCTTGCCTGCGCGAGGCCCCAGGGGGTGGCAGGGTGTTTATCTCCACGCTGAAACGTCAGGCTTAGGAAATCGGGACTGGGAGGTCAATAAATCTTTGGGATGCCTGAACAATTTACAGAACTCTCCTCCGCTGTTTGATGAAGAGTGGAGAGATAAAATATGGGTTTACGAGCCACTTTCAGAGTCCCTGGGAAGAGGGGTTTTTTGCAGTTATTTCACGACTTTCAAATATTGTAGAAACTGTCCTTATTTCTCCTCCATTTCCCTTGTGTGGCTGCTCTGGCAATCGGGGAGAGATCCTCACATTTAATGCATTGAAATGAAGTCCTGGCTCAGGCAAAGCACCTGCTGACTTCAGGAAAGTCTGCTCAGCCAGGACTTCATGATATAGTCTGCAATAAAAGAGTATCACCCATGGCCTCTCTCCATCTCACTGACTCCTCCTCTGCGTCCCCTCAGCACCACCCTTTAGACCACCCTTGGTGGCTCTTGGTGCCAGAGGTGGAGTTCTCTCCTGGGAGCTGGGACAGACCCTAGGACAGGGCAGGGAGGGACCACACAGCCCCATGGCTGCTCCAAGAAGCACCAGTGGGGTCAATCACTCTGTCCCCTTCCCCACATGGGCACTGGCACAGCCCACTGCTCTGCTTGGGCAATGCTTACCTCCCCCTCTGTTGTTTTTATGAGCAGCACCGTTGGTTCGTAGCCTTCACAGCATGTGTAAAACCTGCAGAGATCAAGAAGGAGGTTGAGTCGGTGGGGATCTGAGACCCAGGAGCAGCATGAGGCTGTAAAGGACAGTGGAAAGCAGCAGTGGCTCTTCTCATCCCATTGCTGAGCTGGCCCAAGGGAAGGAGAGCAGCAGAAACTCATAATCATGTAGCTCGAGCAGCTCCAGTGGCTGTGCAGGAACAGGGGGAGTTGGCTTATGGGACTTCTCAAGTCATCATTTTTGCTTGGTGAAGCAGGTAATAGCTCAGATAAATCCAAACACTAAATCCTCCCACTCGACCCTCAGGAACCAGGCTGGGGGGAGGCTTTATGGGAGGATTACGGGAAGGCTTTTTTACCAAATGAGCTTGCTTTTAGACTGGCTGTTTTTCATAATCTGGGCTCTGCACCCCTTTGCTGTCCTGGGAAGGTGCAGGGCTGTGCTTCCCAGGATGGAGCTGTACCCCTGTGCTGTGGGACACCCAGTCGCCTCCCATCTCACCAGGGGGAGATGCTGATGGTGCTAATGGAGACGCTACCATTGCAGCCCCACTTCTAAACACCACTCTGAGCACTGGGGTGGCATGGGCAGCACCCAGTCCCAGGACACCCTGGCATCCCTCCCCCGTTGGCAGTTGCTGCATCTCAGCAGAGAAACGCCCCGGCACTGAGCGCTGCGGGACATTCCTGCTTCACCTTCGCTCCAGGGCCATGGCAGCGACTGTCACTGGGCCCTGGGCTGTCTCTAGTGCTGACACTGGTCTTATTATTGCAATTTTGGGCATTGGCCATGATACAACCGTTCCCCCTCATCCTATGGCTCCCCTCTCTGATCAAGAGTCCTTCCCCATCTTTCCTGGAGCCCCTTGAGGGACTGGAAGGGGCTCTAAGGCTCCGGAGAGGCTGAACCCCCAGCTCTCTCAGCCCCCCCAGCTCTCTCAGCCTGTCCTCACAGCAGAGGGGCTCCAGAGTGTTTTTGTGGCCTCCTCTGGACCCGTTCCAACAGGTCCGTGTCCTTCCTGTGCTGAGGACTCCGGAGCTGGACACAGTGCTCCAGGGGGGGTGTCACCAGAGAGGGTTTGATGTCCTCCCCATCCCAGGCTGTACCCACGTGCTGTCTGCCCCTGCCCTGAGCTCTGCCTGCTCTGCCAGTGCAGCCTCTCAGCTTAACAGAGGAGCTGGTCTGGGTTTCCTGCCCGAAAACATTCATGCAAAAGCAGCCTCATCCCTCAGCCCTCCCAAAAGGAAGGCTTTTGCCGCTTCACGGCTTGGGAAATCAATGGCAAACTTGTTTGCCAGCTCAGTTTTGAGCCGCACTCACTGCGGTGTCCAGAAGCCACCCTGTGCTCCGAGCCACTGGGAGGGAGCTGGAGCCCTGGGGATAGAGTCCTGGCTGGACCTGACCCATCCCAGTGTGGCTGGCATGGCGTGGCACGTGGGGACATACCCTGCGTGGCACATCCACAGGGCTCCGTGTTCCCTGTGCAGTTCTGAGTTGCTGGTTGCCATCCCACTGAGCTTCAGCCCTCTCCCCTACAGCCAGCGCTGCCCCAGACCACACTCCAGCTTTTGAATTGAACCCAAGAGAGTTCCCAGGAGACCTCAGATGTACCCCATGGACACTACCTCTTGCTCTTTTCTACACCACCAACTCTACCCAGTTTTACATCTGGACCCGATGGGCAGATAACACTTTACCTCTGCAGGCTGCACCCATCTTCTGAGGTGGAGAAGAGCAGCAGTGGGGGGAAGAGGGAGAAGCGCTCAGGGATCCAGGACCAGACGATGCGCATCTCCTGAGCCGTTACAGTGCTGGAGCTGAAGTTCTGCATGTCCACGGCCAGGTGGAAGGACTGCCTGCATGAGGGAGGACACCCATTACTGCCAAGCCAGGGCGGCCATCTGGTTTTATGGGTGCAGCCCCTCTGTATCAGGTTTTGTCATGTGTATTGCATTGTGAGCTTTCTGTGAACATCCCTAGCTCTAACTGTATGGTGCCTCCTAAAAGGGTCCTCCACAAGGGGCTGTGAGGCATCCAGCATAGCCAAAGCTACGGGAGATACCTGGAGCTCCCCCCAAGTTGTATCTCCACTGTAACTCGTATTTTGTCTGCTTAGCCCCAAGAGCTGGCAAAGAGAGGTCTCCTTACCTTCTTTGCACCATGGTTATGCCCCTCTCCATTAACGCCTTCCTGTTGGCCATCTGGAGGAGCCAGATTTCCTTGCGGGAGAAGAGCCGGATGCCAAAGGCTCTCTCTAGGAGTTTGTCCACAGTCACGTGCTCAGCAATGTTCTGCATGAAAGCCTGCAGGTCTGCCTTAATATCAGTCCCCTCCAGCTCGGTGGAGGTCACCGAGAGCCTGTACTGCTTCAGCAAGGCCAGGGCAATGCGGTAGAGGACCTTCTGCCCCTCCAGCAGGTAGACATCAAAGACACGGATGGCATAGTTGAAGGGAAGGTCATGAAAGAGCCAGGATAACCATTCGGAGTAGACCTCAAAGACATTCGCAGAGCTGCTGGCTATGAGTTTGTGAGCTGCTGGGCAGTGCTTGTTGGCCAGATCCCCAAAAGTCATGCAGGAGGCCTGGTGAGCCAGGAAGGACTGGTCAATGTAGCTGGTGTGGGGAGCATTGCTGGCGATGAGGCGAGAGATGTTCTCAAAGCACTGAGCTTCGTCTTCGCTATAGTGCAGCAGCAGAGCCACCAGAGAGGGCAGGATCGGGCTGTAGGTTATGTCAGGGAAAAGGTTGCCAACGCAGATGAGGATCTTCTTCAAGGCGGTGACCCCTTCCAGGTTGAGGCAGTAGGTGGGCATGGAGCATCCTTCCAGGAACTCAGGCAAAGGGTGGGAGCTCACGCTTGGCTTCCCAAAGAGCCGACTCGCCACGTCCCTGTAGACAAGAGCATCCGGGGTGACGAGCCGGCAGGCGACCTGCTGGATGAGCTGGTGATAGACCTGAGCTCTCAGAGCACGGCTTGCAGCCCAGTAGCCTTCTCTTGCCAGCTTCTTCAGCTCCTTCGGGGGCTTGCTGAGGATGTCTCGGGGGATACGCGCCTCTTGCTCCAAGTCTGGCATCCTGTCCCAATCCACAAACTGTCCACAGCCCAGACAAGAGGAGGCATCAATGTCCCAGGTGTCAGCCTCCGACGTGATGACGATGGTGACTGGAGATGAGCCAAACATCTCTGTAGGACAAAGACCTTTTATTCAGCACGCTTCACTGCCCCAGCTGACAGCGTTTCACCCTGCCTGACGCTTTGAAGTCTTACAGCAACTTCTTGTATTTCAATAGTTATTCTTCGCCCTGCAAAGGGAAGGTTTTCAGGGGGTTTTGCCTGGCTGGAGCTGCTCACTTTGCCCTCGCCTGCTCTTATCAGCTCGGTCCCCTGGGGAAACCCTTGTCCAGTGGCTTGAGGAAGCATGGGCCCACTTACCAGCTGGGTGTCAGGGCTGATTCTCCACACCTTGAGGAGATTTGCACCCCTCCAAAAGCTCCTCCTGACTTCCCTTCCCAGCCTGGGACCTGCCCAGAGAAGCTGTGGCTGCCCCATCCCTGGAGGGGTTCAAGGCCAGGCTAGATGGGGCTTTGAGCAACCTGGTGTGGTGGGAGGTGTCCCTGCCCAGGGCAGGGGGTGGGACTGGATGGTCTTGAAGGTCCCTTCCAACATGAACCATTCTATGATTCTAGGAGGGAGGTGCAGACAGCAGGGACACAGTCGCTGTCCCCCATGGCTGACCATGAGACAGCACTGTGGATAACAAGCAGCTTGGTCCCAGCCCAGCTCTGCAGGGGTACGGGAGGACAGGGGGTCCAAGCGATGCTGTGGTTTGCATCGTGGCCTCTCCCAAGGACGGAGCGGGGCAGGAGGCAATGTCCTGTCTGGGTCTGGCAGCCCAGGACGGAGCGGGCAAAGCCTCAGGTGTTTGCTCTCCCTCTTTCTGCCTCCTGCCAAAGTCTCTGCAAAACCCATCCCTGTCTTGCTGTTTGGGTGCCAGAGAGAAGGTGGAAGGAGAAGGTGCTGCAGCGAGAGGGGCTCCCCGAGGGTGTGGGGACTGTCTGTGGGATGCAGAAGTGTCCCCATTTCCCGCGTGCCCCCATGGACCTGGAAATACCAGGGGCTGGTGAGCGTCTGGGGAACCCCTTGGAGAGAGAAGGTCCCCAGGAGACCCTCGGGGGACGCTCCTGCACACAGGACCATGGCAGGGCAGTGGCAGCCACCAGCGCTGTGCTGGGAAGAGCAGAGTTTGAGCTCCTCCTAGAGAGAAGTGAGCAGCATTTTCTCTGGAGTTGCAAGAGAGCTCAGCTCCAAACCCCGCAGGAGAGGGGAATTGTCTCTGCATGGCTGACTTCTGCTGGGCAGTGATTAATTGGCAAGGCTAAAGTCGATTAGCACACACATGGATTCTCTGATGTGTTTATCTTGGGTGTGCTCAGTTGGGATGGGGAGTCTAGCGTGGATTTGCACCGAGCCAAACCTCTCTGCTCAGGACAACATGGACCCGGCCCCGTGTGCTGCGCTTGTGGTGGCACATGGTGGCATGGCGAGGGGGTCCAGGGGCCTGGGCTGCTCTGGCTCCTGCTCTCTGGTGCAGTTTGGATCCTGCTCAAGTTTGCCCAAACCAGCAGATGAGGTTTGGTTCTGGTTCAGGGCACGAGCAGCCGTTGTAAGCGGTGGCTGCTCAGCCCAACTCCCTGCTTTGAGGACAGACAGACCCCGAGTTCAGCCACACGTCTTCTAGCCAGAGACACCAGGCTAAAACGAACTTTGGGGTTGAAAACAGGGCTGTTTACACCACTGTGGTCCCCAAACTCACTCTGTCCTCACAGCTGGCAGGATCAAGAAGTACCAGGCAGACCAAGCAGATCAAGAAGGATCAAGTGAGGATCAAGTGCTCCTCAAAGTACCGAGGAGCATCAACTCAAGTCCACACGGTCACCGGTACCCTGGTGGACCCAGCTCTGCCCACCCTGGGACATGCCAGGAGTGTTGGGGAAGAAAATGTGGGTCTGCTCAGCCCCTCTCCCGTGCTGGATGTGGCCCTGGCACAAGCCATATCCTGCTGCCCCCCTTCCCTGGGGTGAGGGGGGTGTGTGTGCCTGCCTGCAGCTCACTCACCTTGCCCGCTGCCCGTGTTATCGCCCTCGGCCGGCTCAGCCACGGGGAAGCCACCAGCCGCCCCCCCGGGGGAGCGGGGCAGGCTGAGCCCCACCTGCAGCATGTGTCCAGGCTCCGGTGCTCCCCGCTGCCAGGTCCCCTCTGTCCCCAGCACCTGCCCTGACTTTTAAGGCGAGTGCCAGCCTGCCAGCACAGGAGGTTTATTTGGTGTAAATAGGGCGAGGGGTGGAGCAGCTCCCATGCCCGTGTCCCCCCCTTTCCTGCCCCAATTCTGTGCCGATGCCAGGGAGGAGGGGGGGGGGGATGTAAACACCCCGTGGGATGAGATAGCCATCAAACCAACAACACGACCATTAAACTTAATCATTTATTTTTTCAAGGTATAACCTTCATTATCCCACTCGGGGGTTCACTCCCTTCGCCAGCGTCACGGGGCAGGGAGGGTGCCGGGTGTGTGTGTGTGTGTGTGTGAGAGTGTGAGGGAGCTGCCACCTCAATCGCCCGTCCTTGAACGAAGGAAACATCAACACAACCCGGGGGTTTCCAACTGCTTCCCGCTGGATGGTCCTGGAGGAGTTGGGGAGAGAAACACCTGGGCAGCGGGCGCCAGGGACCGGGTGACAAGGGGCCACGAGGACTAAGTGACGCCCTTCTGTGTCCTCCCTCTGCACCCTTAGGGAAGCTTTTTGGGGGACAGGAGCACTGGGGCTGTACCAGCCGTGTTTGTGGCACTTTGTTGGCACCGGCCAGCAAAAGCACCAGGGGAAATTCGGGGTGACGCAGACGTGCACCCCACAGCACCCCGGGAGCAGGAGCACAGACCGGGATTGTTGCAGGCAGGGTTGTGGTGCTTCAGCCTTTCCAGTCTGTCCCCTTTGCAATGGACGTTATTGCTTGACTTCTGGCCTCCAAACGCCTGGCAGGATTAGGAGCTGTGCGTTGTATTCACAGACAGAAGAGCTGAGCTGAAGGAAAAACACCCTCCAACAGCTGCAAGATGCTCCCAGCAACATCGCACTGATCCGACACTGAGACCTGGAGAACTTGCAGTCCAGGCTGCACTTAAAAGCGGACATTTTTATAGGCACCTTAAATTTAAGATTTTTTTTTGCCTTAAAAAATCTGAATTTTTTTCTCCTGTGATAACATTCCTGCCTCGCTCCCTGCCTGCGGGTCTGCCTGCACCTGCAGCACATCCTGAGCATCCTCTGGCACCGGTGGGCTCAGGGCAGGCAGGAGCGGTCGGTCCCTCTGCAGACCCTCTCCTTTCTGCATGAAGCACCTCCTCCATGATGTGCCACTCTGAGGGGAGCAGCACAGCTGCGCTGTCACCTGGCAAGCTGGGAGCCTGAGGAACCATAGAATCATAGAATGGTTTGAGTTGGAAGGGATCTTGAAGACCAGCCAGTCCCACCCCCTGCCTCCCACCACCCTCCCACCACACCAGGTTGCTCCAAGCCCCCTCCAACCTGGCCTTGAACCCCTCCAGGGATGGGGCAGCCACAGCTTCTCTGGGCAACCTGGGCCAGGCTCTCACCACCCTCACAGCAAAGAATTTTTCTGAGATCTCATCCATAATCTCCCCTCTTTCAGTTTAAAACCTTTCCCTCTCAACCTATGGCTCCCCTCCCTGACCAAGAGTCCCTCCCCATCTCTCCTGGAGCCCCTTTAGGGACTGGAAGGGGCTCTGAGGTCTCCCCGGAGCCTTCTCTTTTCCAGAATGAACCCCCCCAACTCTCTCAGCCTGTCCTCCCAGCAGAGGGGCTCCAGCCCTCCCAGCGTCTCTGTGGCCTCCTCTGGCCCCGCTCCAACAGGTCCACGTCCTTCTGATGTTGGTGGCTTCAGAGCACAGCAGAGGGGCAGAATCCCCCCCTCACCCTGCTGGCCACGCTGCTGGGGATGCAGCCCAGGGTGCAGGTGGTTTCTGGGCTGCCAGCGCACGTTACCAGCTCATGTTGAGCTTCTCATCCACCAACACCCTCAAGTTCTTCTCCTCAGGGCTGCTCTCCAGCCATTCTCCACCCAACCTGGGTTTGTGCCTGGGACTGCCCCAGTCCAGTAGTGGGACCTCGCACTTGGCCTGGCTGAACTTGGTGAGGGGCCGAGGGGTCGTTTATTCTCCCTCCAACTCAAACCCTTTTGCCCAGGCTCTAGCAGCAGGTCCTGCTGCCTTTCCCCAGGACCTCACTGGCTTCTTTCTCCTCTTTTCCTTTTTCTAGGACAGCGGATGCCTCTCCCTGCCAGACCAGAGCAGCTCTGAACCTTTCCTCAGCGCCCCCCTGTCTGCCTGCCCACTCCAAGACAGGAGATGGAAGTGAATTAGGGATGGTGCGAGATGGATCATCGCTTCATGCCTTTTTTATGGTGAAAAAATTAAATATGTAGAGGCCGTGGCAGCTCCGGATGAGCTGCGCCGCTGATGGGCATGAATGTTTCATGATAACTGCCTGCGAGAGGAGCCCAATTCGGGACGTGCAAAGGGGGCTGGTGAGATGAGCCGTCACCCTGGGGATGGAGACACCGGGGCCGGCCGGGCTCCCACTCCGTGCCCAGGATTCTTCTGGCCACCTGGGTCCTCCTCGGTCACGGCTTCACGGTCCCAAGCACTCGAGAGCATCGGCCTCAGCCCCTCCATCCTCGTGCTTCCTCTTCCAAAAGCCATCCCAGCTCCAGCCAAACCGGCTTGGCTCTCCAGGAGCACAGCGGGCGTTTCGGGCGCCTGTAAACAGGCTGACGAGGATCTGCTCGTTATCCCGGCAGGGCGGGAGCAGCCCCGTCAGACGAGGGCAATAAAACATTGCGGTCGGTGCTTCGCCGCTGCTTTTCAGGCACCCCCACATCGATTTGCGTCATCCATCGCACCCAAAAAACCCAGGAGAGGCCAAATCCTGGGCGTGGGGAAGGCTCTTTGGGCTGGGCTGGAGCAGAAGCGGGTGCCCGAGTCACTGCAGAGCTCTTGGCAGCCAAAATATTGACAGTGTCAACACCGTCCAGTGTCACCGTGGCTTCTTGGCAGCCCAGCCCTGCCCGCTCTGCCTGGCAGGGGGACGGAAACATCGGGGTGGGCAGGGGAGGGCGGGGGGGGGCAATGGGTGTTATTTGGGAATGGGCAGGAACTGGGGATGGGGCTGAGGATTTGGGAAGGGAAACTGCAGCTGCCTGAAGGAAGAGAAGGCAGGAGCCAGGGGGAGATGGCTGTGGGGAGCCTGTGGGGCTGGAGCAGCCCTGCCCAAAAGGGGACAGCCTGAGAGTCGGGGTGCTGTGGGTGGCACCGTGGTGGGGACAGGTTAAAGCGACCCTGGAACCTCGGGAGCTGCAGCTCAGGGTGGGAAAGGGACAGGGGACAGGTTCATGTGGGGTAAGGAAGGAGAGAGGAAAGAGGGAGGATGGAGGGAGGAACAAGGGAGGAAAGAGAGAGGAAGGATGATGGAGGAAGAAAGGAAAGAGGGAGGAAGGAAGGAAGGAAGGAGGAAGGGAGGAAGGAGGAAGGGAGGAAGGAAGGAAGGAGGGAGGGAGGAGAGTGGAAACAGTAAGGATAGAGGAAGGATGAAGGGAGGAATAAGGGAGGAAGGAGAGAGGAAGAAGAAAGGAAGGATGAAGGAGGGAGGAAGGAAGGGAGGAATCTTTATATCTCATGGTGTATTTTGTGCTTCTCTGGAAGATAACAAAGGGCTCCTGGAAAATCAGGAAGAAGCAATGGGCTTGGATGCAGTTTTGTGGATGGAGGGCTTGGCTGGGGACGAGGGGTGTCAGTTGCTTGTGAGGGCTCTCCCCCTCTTCCTCAGCTGTGCACCCTGCACCCCTACACCCTGCACTGCACACCCTGCACCCTACACTTCTGCATCCTGTGCAGCACAACCGTCACCTCTGCACCCATGGACCACTACACCCTGCACTGCACACCCTGTGCTGCACACCCTGTGCTGCACACCCTGCATCCTGCACCGCTGCCTTGGGCACTTCTGCACCTCTGCACTGTGCACCTCTGCATCTCTGCATCCTGCCCCTTTGCCCCCCTGCACCCATGGGCCCTGCAACTGCACCTCCCTGCAACTCTGAACCCCTGCACTCATGCACCTTTGCATCCTGCCCCTCTGCACCCCTGCATCCATGCACCTCTGCACCCCTGAACCTTGCACCCCCATGCATCCCATGCACCCTGCATCCCATGCACCCTACAACCCATGCACCTCTACATCCTGCCCCTCTGTACCCATGCGCCCCATGCACCTCTGCACCCCTGAACCCTGCAGCCCCGCATCCTGCATCCCATGCACTTCTGCACCCCCATGCATCCCATACACCCTGCATCCCATGCAACCCCCCTGCATCCATACACCCTGCACCCCATGCACCCCACAACCCATGCACCTCTGCATCCTGGCTCTCTGCACCCTGCATCCCCCACACCCTGCATCCCATGTGCGTCTGCACCCCCATGCATCCCATGCACCCTGCAACCCCTGCACCTCTACATCCTGCCCCTCTGCACCCATGCACCCCTGAACCCTGCACCCCATGCACCTCGCACCCCCGAACCCAGCACCCCATGCACCTCTGCACCCCTGAACCCTGCACCCCCGCATCCTGCATCCCACACACCCTGCACCCTGCAACCCATGCACCTCTACATCCTGCCCCTCTGCACCCATGCACCCCTGAACCCTGCACCCCATGCACCTCTGCACCCCATGCACCTTTGCACTCCCATGCATCCCATGCACCCTGCATCCCCATGCATCTCTGCATCCTGCATCCCATGCACCTCTGCACCCCTGAACCCTGTAGCCCATGCACCTCTGCACCCCTGCATCCATGCACTCCATGCACGTGAACCCTGCACCCCCGCACCCTGCACCCCATGCACCCTGCAACCCCTGCACCTCTACATCCTGCCCCTCTGCACGTATGCGCCCCTGAAGCCTGCATCACATCCACCCTGCATCCCCTGCACCCTGCAGCCTGCACATATGCGCCCCTGAAGCCTGCATCCCATCCACCCTGCATCCCCTGCACCCTGCAGCCCATGCACCCCTGCACCCCATACACGCTGCATCCCATGCACCCTGCAGCCCATGGACCTCTGCACCCCTGAACCCTGCATCCCATCCACCCTGCATCCCCTGCACCCTGCAGCCCATGCACCCCTGCACCCCATACACGCTGCATCCCATGCACCCTGCAGCCCATGCACCCCTGCACCCCCATGCATCCCATGCACCCCCATGCATCCCATGCACCCTGCATCCCATGCACCCCTGCATCCCATGCACTCCATGCACGTGAACCCTGCACCCCCGCACCCTGCACCCC